GGTACCAAATGCCCGGCGGACCGGTACCGGTCCGCGGACCGGCGGTTGGGGACCCCTGCATTATAGGCATGTTTTCAAACTTTGTAAAGACAAGCAGGTACCAGAAATAGAGAAATGTTTTTATGCGCAAATGACAACATTGTTAATACAATACAATCCCTAGTCTCACACAAAATCGACCAAAACGTTTTAAGGTGCATGCCAGGCCACTAGTTGGTGGTGGCCTACACATTGCTTTTCACATTAGGCGAATTAAAGTTAAAATATTTGGTTTACAGTCAATAAGTAACACCACTCGGATTACGTCGTGTTCCTTCGGCGGCAGCAACGTACTCCAAATGTAATATGGAATTTCAGTAGTCTGCGCTGACACGGTTGTAAAGTTATCATTACAGTAAATACCTGTATTTGTATAAAAATAAATAAATAAACCCTTAAAAAAACAGTCATCCGTAAATATATAACAACAATAAGTTTGGCGGTAACCGAGTGTGCCACCTTCTGCTGTGTGTCCACATATTCTTTTAGTTTACTTGCAGGCCGCAAGTGATTCAGTACTGTACTGTCTTCAAGAGAGGACCTCCCGTACACAAATAGTTGGGTTCATGGAGGGTCTTGCCCACCCATTAAGTGTAAGATTGTACGATCAAGTGAGTCTTTTGTGAGCTGCCGTTTCCAAAAATGTGTCAGGAAGGAAACTGTTCAGAATTTTTGCCGGATTGTTACAGTGGTGCTAATTTACATAACACTGCGTCCGCACCGAGTCTCCCCACCCTTGACTTGGGCAAGTTGGGCAAAGATGTGCCCTATACGAAAACACACAGGTCAAAGCTGCAGTCCTGTAAGGATATATCTCGACACTAATTGACAAGTGTAATTCTGCAGCTAAATGATGAAGTGCTGCCTCCACAACTGGAAATAAAATTGATGCTTTTATTGTTTTCACAAGTGCTTACTTCTTTCTTCCCACTATGAAGAGGGAGTAGCAGCTTGTCTTATTTCAAACCCCTCCCAAAGTTGTGAGCAGTGGCTCATTTGCATGAGATAAAACAACCCCCTCAAAACAGGCTGAGTTCTGAGCTCAACAGCCTAGTTATCTCCGCCTTTGTCATCATGGTAGCAAAAGCCGTTCTTGACTTGGTTCATTCAACTTGTCTGATAAACTTGAGACACCCATGGGAAACTCTTTGGGTTATCATTTTCGACCGCTGCCTGGATACCGAGGAACTATTTTCAATGATGAAATGAATGCCTAATATGTCTCCTTTAAAGCATAGAGGCTGTCTCCACTTAAACGAACGCAACACACGCTGTTACGAATAGCCCATGAGAAGCTTTTGTCTTTCACGCTTCTGCAGCATGCTCTTCAACAACCTCTGAGACTTGTCTCCATTCCTTCATCTCTGACCCTGTAGCTCCTCTCTTCATGTTTGTAAAGATGCACATGAAAAAAAAAACATCTTCCGCTCTCTCTTCTCTTATTGCCTTTTATGTTTGGGTTTTTTTCCCCCCAAATGAAAATTCACCTTTATATCATATGCACACAATGTGACATTAACCTCTTACTGGTACATAACTAATACAGCTGCAGCAGAAACATGTAGACAAGTTACTTTAACTTGAAAGAAAGTGCAGCTTTTCTAAGCTCTTTAACAATAGTGTTGAGTCATTAGGCAAGTTTCTTTGCCCTCCTGTTTATATGGTACATCCATTATGTTCACAAGTCAGTGTTCAGCCTGAAAAAAAAACACACAAGGCAACACCATAGGCTCCTTTTTTTGTGGATGGTGCAAGTGAGCCCGGAAGTAAAACCTGGCACATCATGATTTTCGTGCAGGTCTAAGCCTTATTTAGTGTGTTTGGGAATTTGGCTGCTCACGTTGCACCATGCTATGCGTTCATGCAGACCGAGGGCATTTCCTTTTACACACCCCTTAGCGCACCTGAGAATTTGGTGGCTGAAATTTTTCGGGATGTTCAATACGACTTTTTTTTATTTCCAGACCAATACCAGTACAGGTACTCAATTCTTTAGTACTTACCAATACCGATATCACGTACCTGATACCACTCATACTTTTTATACAAACATTTCAATTAAACTAATGACAGATACGTTTCAAATAAGAGCTTTCAATTATTTCTAACAAAAGACAGGACAGTCACCCTGCAATACAGAATTTAAGTCCAAAATAAAACATAAAGAACGATCTCAGAATTTAGGATTTATTTGTCATAAACTAACAAAAGTGCATCATAAAACTGACTCCCTGTTGTGCAGTCTTTGTTCGAAATCATTCGAAGTGCAGAATCGTAAAGGTTAAAATGACATTTAATATTGCACCGTATAATCACAGCATTCTATTGTATCTTTTTCAGTTGATGAAAGTAGGTACATCATACATACATTGAAATAAGTACAGCATATGCATGAAATAACGTAATGGAGAAAATCAGCACATTGCCCAAACTGAGTTAGCAAATTAACATTTGATGTTGGTCACAGTGCTCTAATAATGCAGTCTAAGAATTAATTAAAACCTTATGAAAAAATGTATATACTTATAGAAAGTGCATTTTCATGGGCGTCTGAGAGGATTCGCATAGATGGAATTCAAAAGAGAAGCCATGCAGAAACCGAGTTAGCAAATAAACCTGTACAATGTGGGTCGCATTTGCCTGCAGTATGAACCAAGCCAAAGTCGACCAGGTTGGATTTGAAAAAAATCAGAAATGAGACTGTCATAAAAAAATCAGTTGCAGGTCGTGTATGAGGAGGGTGAGAAAATCTGATCTGGGTCGGATTTGCCTGCTATGTGAAACTAGCCCAAGGGTAGGGATACACTGCAGTTCAATTAAGATTTTTTCTTTTTTTTCCCCATATGCAACACGTGTTTGATTTTTTTCTTTTTTTTTTAGTACAATTCAGATTATTTCAAATTCAACCTGGTGCTCTTTCGTTTGTGGATATAAATTGGATATGTATGTGATCCATCTGCAATATGAACGTAACCTCACATGCACGATGAATTTGCGCGATATTTGTGAATCTCAGAGAATTCATCTTGTCCTGAGCCAGCTGATTTACTCTGAGCAGCACCACTAAAGCAACAGTTGTGTTTGTAGGCTGGATATGCAACCGTGAAGAAAAATGTTCTCGGTTGACAATCAGTTTGATTTAAAAAAATCAATGTCGTGTTATTCAAGACGCTCTTTCGCCACATATTTACATTCCAAAAATGGCGCCATCATGCCATCTGTACCCATCATCGAGATAACAGGACTCAGCTGGTCAAACAAGGTGCATGAGGGTGACACCATTTTCATCCATTGACGGGATTGGTCAAAGCAAAAGTTTGGTAGGCATGCACAAGTCGCTGCATTGCCCAAACAAGTATTGTACTGAATGTCCCGCCTTTCCCGAGCAGACGAGATTGGAGCAGTCTCACATTGATATTGTGGCGAACTCCTTTTAGTGATTCACATTATCCATCTGGCGCTTGCCAGGTTAGTAACAACGCTCATCTGTGCATACCTTATGGCGCCCGAGTAGGCAGCCTTCTGCAAGTGCTCTTCAAGAGCCTTGCTTTTTTTGTTCTTTTTTTGTTGTTTTTGTCTTTTGTTTTGTCACATTTTGTTTGTTGTTTCATCGTGTGGACCTGATATGGACTGTTTTCAGCGTTTTTTGGCCACGACATTCGTCAAAGGAGAAGTATATGTGCTTGGTGGTTGCGCCTTCTCGGCAGCACGCCTGTACCAGCACAGATTTTGATTGGGAGAAATGTCGGCGCCATTGACTGTCGGTGCTGGACAGACCTGGGGCGCTTGTGTTTTTTGCGCCTGTAATGGGCAGCATTTTTCACAACCCCGTTTTGTTCAGTGGAGATGACCGCTGTTGGAGACAGTCGGCGTTGGTGCGGCTGGATGGATGGCTTGAAGTTGAGGATGAGGAGAGAGGAGCGTTGGCGCAGAGCGCCGATGCGTATTTGGAACCGAGAGTCGCCGCTTGGAATTGAAATGGATTTCCATGGGACAGGAGAAGTGAACCAATCTCTTTTTTCGTCAATGGATGCTACAGCTTGTTGACTTTGAAACTTAGCTTGTAGCCAACGTGTGCACATTTTGAGCATGACGTCTCTGATCCACTGGTGAAAGGACACTTTGATTCTCTCCTCTTTCATCTCAAACTGCTTCAAACAACAAAGCATGTCCCGGAAAAGTGGTTAGGACTGCACGACTGTCCGTGTTTTATGTTATGTGTTGTGTTTATTATTTTACTTTATGTTAACTGTTTTGTTAAGCGCTTTGTTACAGCTGCCGCTGTTGTGAAAGCGCTATATAAATCAGCATGTATTGTATTGTATTGTATTGTATTGTATTGTATTGTATTGTATTGTATTGTATTGTATTGTATTGTATTGTATTGTATTGTATTGTATTGTATTGTATTGTATTGTATTGTATTGTATTGTATTGTATTGTATATCTGACCGATATCAAAAGCCAAATATGCACTCCGTGCGGGTGGGGGGCGATGCGTGAGATGACTGTTAATTTGCAAAGATGTTTCATTTGACTTTAATTTAATGTCACCTGAAACATGAAGCACAAAGTAGACATTTGTGGTGATAGTAATAGTTCATTCATGCAAGCGGCTCATTTGTTACGCGCGGCAATGATGTGACGTCATTTTTAGTGGATGTCTCCATCACCCGAGGAGATCAAGGAGCATCTCCTCATATTCCTCAAATATTTCCACCTCTCCCATCTCGCTACTCTTTCCTTATATGCTGATAAAATGAGCTCCTACACGCAGGATCCCATGTACTTCCGTAAACACTGCCACATGACTTTTTTTTTTTAATCCACATCACTCGACATCGTGCTTTGTGCGCATGCATGTCACATCACAGATGCGTTCCATTCAAATTAGAAGTCACATTTGTTTTCCTAATATGAATGAGCACAAAAGAAAAATCGGATTGAACAAAAAATCTTTATTAGGCCTCACACCTGCTGTGTGAACCGAGCCCAAGTGCTCACTTCACAGCGGTAATCTGTGATCACCCTTGCTAACTACACATCATCCACAAGTGTAGATCTTACAGTTTGTTACATACGTACTTTGCACACGTCAGTCTCTCCTGCATGAACTCCAGCAAGTCAGTTTCTGCATCCGCCATGTAAATGGTGCGCCTTTCCTGCGCTGGAGTCAAAGTGAAGAAGAGGAGCAGCTTTCATTGGCCTGGAAGCACTTCGGCTGTGTTCATGCCCATAACTGTACAAATACCCATTGCTAACTGCATGTGTCCTACAAAAAGAAAACTTATCCGCACAGTTTGACCGAACTTGCGCACTGGGCATGAAAACGGGGCCCCATCACTAAGTACTCAGTCAATATTTTGTATTTGGTGTAACTACTGGAAATCACTTATTTCTGTTTTATATATATATAAAGAGAGAGAGAGGGAGAGGGAGAGGGAGAGGCGGCCCGGTGGTCCAATGATTAGCGCGCCCACCTCACAGTGCAGAGGTACCGGGTTCAATTCCAGCTCTGGCCTCCTCGTGTGGAGTTTGCGTGTTCTCCCCGGGGAGCCTGCGTGGGTTTACTCCGGGTACTCTGGTTTCCTCCCACATTCCAAAAACATGCATGGCAGGCTGATGGAACACTCCAAATAGTCCCTAGGTGTGAGTGTGAGCGCAAATGGTTGTTCGTTTCTGTGTGCCCTGCGATTGGCTGGCAACCGGTTCAGGGTGTCCCCCGCCTACTGCCCGAAGACAGCTAGGATAGGCTCCAGCACCCCCTGCGACCCTTGTGAGGATGAAGCGAATCAGAAAATGAATGGATGGATATATACTGTATATATACATACATATATAAAGTATATGTGTGTGTGTGTGTGTGTGTGGACAAGGCCGATGCAACTGCATTGCTAGCATGACTTATTCTTGATGGAGTATTGCTAAAAATGTGACCAGTTTGATGTTGGATTTTTTTGGAATATCCAATCAATTGAAACTTAAGAGAGAGTAAGTTAAACATGTCAATTGAACCTGAAACCTGATATATATCGTCTTGCTTCTTAATTCCTCAGTTCCCAAAAGCTTATGAGTATTGTTGAAAGGGAAGGTGATGTAATTCAGTGATAAGTTACGAGTTTTTTTTTGAAAGGTGCTGCAGACATCAAACTCAATTCCCCCAAAGCAAATAAATAAATAAATATGTTTATCAGAGTGTATCAGTTTGAGAATTTAATTACTTTGGAGTATGGTCAATTGAGTGTAGGTTGAGAAGTATTTGAAAATGATTGTATTCAGTTGTTATGTCCACTTTACACCTGCTCCCACCTTTGTTGGAGATAGGGTTTGTAATTTTTGGCCCAAATACATGAAGTTATTTCCCATGGCACACTAATGTATTAGACTACACTGTCCATTTCCATATGGCCCATAACTCCGATTAAATGCATCAAACTAACGGTTCTTTTCTCTTTTTGTGTTGCTTTAGGCGATGAATTTGGTAAGTGAATCTCATTCGTGCCGTATGCTATGCTTCCCCTACTCGCATCATCGTCATCAATGCACCTCCGTATGGCCCTCTGCTGGCATGGCATCCCCCCCCCCACCCCACCCTTGCCCCTGCCTCCCTACCTACTTCGCTTCCCCAAAAGAAGGCGCGGTGCTCAGGAAACAGCCGCGCTTTTGAATACTTTTTTGCATCCTCGCTTGCTTTTTTGAGGTGCTGCTTTGTTGTTTTGGGGCTCTTGTCTCTTGAGACAAAAGCTTGGTGCTTTTGCAGACAAAAACGCAAAAAAAAAAAAAAAAAACCGCAAAAAAAAACCAGCTTTAAACAATTCAACTTTAAGGCCATATGTTACTTGTCATTCCCAACTTTTAGATTTAAAATAATGTGACTACATCATGATTCAACTGTTGTTTCGTATGCTGTTCTACAAACATTCATCAGTGCAATACTGCTCTCCTCATCCTTTTGGTTCTATGGTGATCGCAATAACGCTCCGCTTTTACTTTGCTTTCAGTTTAAATGAGCAGTTGAAGCTGTCTTTAGCATTATCTCGAGTTTCTTTCTCACTACTAATGCCTATGTACAACTGAGTTTAGACAGAAAGTCAAGCGCGGTACACACATACAACAATCTTTACTTCTTCTTAAAATGTTGAGGACCAAGACAGAGCACCACACACCTATTCATATCTCCAGATCAGGGAGGGAAAATCCATGTTAACACTCCCCACACTGTAGTACTATCGCAGAGGATAATCTTGTAGAGGCATCCAGCAATCAGCCCTTTGCTGACCTTGGCTATCGTTAAGTTTCATGTCACAATCCAGGAGTCCTTGGCTCCACCCAACTCACTGCTGACCACACACATAGGGATTTGTGATTGTAAATACTTGAACATCGAACACTTAGCGCCCACCCCTCCCCCCAGGAGTCCCCCACACACACACTCCAGGATAATTTATCAGGACAGTGATCCCTCTTATTTTGCAGCATTTATGTTCCATACCGCCCCAGCATCAGACAAAATCCACAAAGTAGTGAACAAATAGTTATTTCATTATTTACTTGACAGATATTTAATGCGTCATGTTTCTAATACCAACATATATGCAACCTCACACCACAGGATAATCTTTTATAAACATCTGATCTTCGGGCCTTTGCTGACTTTGATGGAAAGGGAGGGAAAATGCTCAAACGTGGCCTTAATTGGCTGTCCCTCCATTTCACATTACAATCACAGAGTGAATGGCTGGGCCCAACTCATCAAGTATATTGACCAGGTTTAGGATTTACGATTGTCAGCCCGACAGAAAAATCACCCTTCATGCACCACACACTTCAGGATAATCTCGCAGGATAATTCTTTGCGGACGATTGGGCCTTTGCTGACGACTCAAATTTGGCCCCATTATGGGTATGTGTGTACCCCGCTTTAGGAGTCCTGTGCACATTGTGGCGCCCCCTTGTGCTTGACGTGCCTGCTTCCCATGTGCCGTCACACAGGATCAGGCATCCAAAGACAAAGCCCTGCAGAATATGGCGGCGCTCTCGTCGGCACAGATCGTCTCGCCCAGCATGATCAAGAATCATCTTCCACCAGTGCCCCCTGCACCCTACCCGCCAAACCCGCCAACCGAGGTGGCCCCCCCCCCCCCCAACAACAGTCCTGCTTTGTTTCACATGTTATTTTTTGAAGCTGAAAACCCCCTATCATTTTCCAGTTCTGGCCCACTGCAGTTCCGGGACAGCCTGGACCCTCTCAGGAGTAAGTAGAACCCCCCGCCCCCTAAAACTCGGGGGGTGGGTGAGGTGGGTGAAGGGGTGTTTGGGACGCCAGGGTTTATGACAGTAGACAACTTTGTCGCAGATGCATAAATCATTAGCGGCATTGCAAAGCATAATTAACACGTGACGTTTTTGCACATCAGGCTGGTTCTAGAGCTCAACCCGGGAAGGACTCCTGGGCTTGGTCGCACCAGCCATGCGTAAGTTCGCCTCGATAGCTGAGCTCCTGTCGTGAGCACCATAGCACTGCTACTAACTTCCACACTCTTTCTCTTGTATGTTTCCTGCACCTGATTGACTTCTAAATTCTATCACCCCAAAAATACAACCAAACGCGGCCCCATGCTCTTTTGTTTGTCTTATTCAAGGTTGGAACACAATGAAGCAGGTGGACTTACGCTTTGCTGGTGCAGCAACACATGCTTACTTGTACACCAACTAGCAGTCAACATTTAAAGGAGACATATGTTGTTGTTTTTCTCCCCACAATTTAATGACATGTTTTGGGCCTGCTGTCAAAACAATATTCCCAAGAATCAAGAATGACAGTGGATTTTCCTGCTTAATTCATATTCCTTAAACACAATATTAATCAGAATGCGTCTTTCAACTAATGGAGCATATAGAACATAGTGTAATGAAAATTTTTGGGGTTGATTTCTCTTTAAGTTTCACTCCACAAAGCCCTATTGCGGGGTGTGACAAGGCGGCCTGACGGCTTTTGTTACCATGACAACTAGGAGCGGAGCAAGCCAAAATGCGAATGAAAAAACAGATAACGTGTAAATAAAAGGCATCATTTGTATTTTCCCTTGTGAAGGCAGCGCTTCATCACTCTGTTTCTAAATTCCACTTGTTAATTACAGTAAAGACTGAGGCCTGCTGCTACTCGTTACAATTATTACTCATTACATTATTTATACAAATAAAGGATTTCCAGATTATTAGATATTTGGAAGTGCCCATGTACACTGAAGACTCTCGGTAAAATGAACAGACACACAATTTTGTCTCTCGGTTGAGGTACAATTTATACTGTAACTGTAACAATACCACCTCGACACCTGTTACTACTTTCCATTAGCACGGGCTTTGGTGCCATTTTGTGGCATTATTGGACATTACTAAAAGAACAAAAAGTAGTTCCACAGACAAAAAACGATTACGGGTAGTTTTGATTTGTGAATACTGAAGCACGAATACTTTGGGGTGCTGCTTCTCTGAAGTGAACTCTAATTTGTACTTTTAACCCTGCAGTTCTGCTTCATTTTTGACTTGGACTTGAAAAAGTGTTTCTGTGTAGTCCGACCTGTGCTTGAAAATGGCGGATCCGCTGTCAAGTTGTGGGGAGAGAAGCTTTTCTAAAATGGGTGGCTTACAAAAGATTTACTCAGTAGTTCAATTTCCCACTTTTTGTCTGCCCAGGAAATTCACTAAAAGTACAGTTTTAATAATGTGGTCCCTTGAAAGCATTCAAGCGTATCAGCCAAACGTGTTCTTTCTTGTCAAGTTTGTCTCACCGAAGCATTTGTTGTCTTCTAGTATCAAACCTTTTGCACAGTCTCCCTACCAAAGCCTATCAGGTCCTGTACCACAGTCCATCCCAAGTAAGACTACCTTTGTGCAGACTGTTTATATACTGTATGACCTACTCTGTGATATGTTGAATATTTGTGTGCTTGATGTACAGGTTACGAGCCCTTGGCGCCACCTCCCCCGCCCACAGCTACAGCTGTGCCAGTGTGGCAGGACCGGACCATTGCCTCGTCAAAGCTGCGCATGTTGGAGTACTCGGCCTTCATGGAAGTCCAAAGGGATCCGGACACTGTGAGTTCAGTTTTGGTGTTGTTTTTACAGTATTATTGAGATAAGAGATATAGTAATGGAAAAAAATGATCACTTAGTGAAGTTTGTTTTCTTTTCTCTGCATTTCATTGTTCTTTATTGACCATGATAATGGAAAGGAGAAAAGTCTAAAATTCATTAAAAAAAAGCAACAGATATTTGAACGTAAATGGTGGAGCAACACACATACATAACAGTACTCACTGGCAGATATTCATTTATCCCCTGTGAAGAACGAGTAATATTACTGAAGTGTACTGAGAAGCTGTGACAGTCATGTATAATCATATGTCAGTATTTTACTGCCCTAAGGTGCACACACCAGAAGGAGCAGCATAATGTCCAGGTGTGCACATAAGCGGTGCGTAAGTGTGTATGCTGAAAATAATCATGTGCGCGCCAGATTCAATTGCCTCAGTATGCATTTGCTTTCCAAGCATATTGCAGACACACTTCTGTGACTGCAGCTCAGTGCCCACAGTCGAAAAGTCCAAGTCAAGTTAGCAGCCACAATAATTGCTTTCTAGGGTCAACTTCTGAATAAAAGACAGCAACGCCATTTACAGTATTAGTTGGGAAGTTTTATTTTGTTGCCATCGCGGCTCGTTGCAATGTGTCATCAACCATTATAGTGGCCTGGCTTCATTTTGCTGCCGCTAACAGAAACAGTGGCTACTTTCGATTGGTGGTAGTGGTGGTGGCGACGGCGGATACTTTCGATTGGTGGCGGCGGCGGTGGCAGCCGAACGCGGGGAGACCGCTGACGGGAAAGTAATTTGGTCTCGCTGCGCCGTGTCTTCAACGGTCCGTCAAAATACATGAAAGTAGTCTGTGGTTCAATAAACATTGGGTACCGGACCACTGCCCAAATCCATGCTGAATCAGCTAGCGGTCTCACACGGTCTCAGATTACAAATTGTAGTTGGCCAATTAATTTTTCAAGGCTGCCATGTGGAAAAACTGAAATGGAAAAACTGAATTTAATGTCTTTATTTTGTTGTATCATTACTAGGGCCACCTCTGTTAGAGCTTGTTATTGGAAAATTAAACTTAAAAACTGGTGAAAAAAAATCAGTCACATCAAAATGACATATCTCCATTAAATCACTCTTGATACAAAAAATATAATTTCTACAATATCTGTATAAGCGTGCTGACATAAGCAAACACCACTACATTATTAGCTGTTCTTATGACTACTAAATCATTAGAAGGGCAAATTCCACTCTCTCTCCATTGTCCAGAAAATACGATTGCTGTTCAAATTAGACTGTTGCTCTCACGATGACCACAGTTAGTGTTGGTGCTATTCATATTTTTTTTCGAAATAGTTGCTAGAATGGTCATAAAAGTCTCTGATTACAGCAACAATATATTTGAATTGGCAACACTAAAAACAAATCTCTGCTCTTGTTCTCTTGCACTGCTGACACACATGCACATCAAAATAAAAGCCACCCATACTTGACATTTTAGTTTGACTTCCTTAAGGCTGCAGAGACTATGCACAGGCCGGATGTGGTTCGCGGGCCCTACTTTGCCCGCCAGATGTGCTATAAATCTTTATGTCCATCCATGAGGTCGGCGGGCCAGGAAAAGAATGAGCACTATTGGGGGAAAAACTTAGCACCATACAACAACCTATTGTGCTCTTCTGAGAACCACAACAAAATTATGGGAACCCCAGATAATGTCCTTTGAATGGAAGCAAAAGCTACTTTACATTCTGTTTAATTATGTTATGACTGTACTTATGTTTGCATAATACATTATGTATTAGCACAAGGCTGGAATGGGTTACAAAACCATCAGCAAAAGGCTTGGTGAGGAAGAGATGAATTATGATGCTAATTATTCCATCATTAAAGACACACAAAATAAACATCTTTGTCTGGAAATCTCCATGCTCAAGAAGATGTAAATGTGTTATAGTTCCATCGCATGGAAGGAGCCACTAGAGGGCACAATTAATTCACAACAACCATGTTACTCAATTAATGGCCATTCGTCTGAAAGTCAGGGGTTCACATAAGAGGTGCGGTGATATGCATGCGTAGTGAAAATATTCACGTATGAACCAGATTTGACTGTTTCAGTGCCCATTTGATTCCTTCAGAAAGCTAACTTGAAAATAAAAGCTGACTAAGGCATTGATATCCATGTCGTACAGTACCTTAGTACTTATTAGGCGTTTATTTTAAATTTCACCCTTGTGGCGCATTGCATCGTGGCCCACACTAATGTCTTCATGTGAAAGCGGACCATGGTGCAAAAAAGATTGGGCACCGTACCGCTGCTGCTAGAGAACTGTGCTAAATCAGCAAGCCAGTGGCGGGCAGTGAGTTTTGGACTTGGGCCTTAAGTGGGTATTTAGTGATGTAATTCACCTCCTAATGTCTTTTTATAAAACAGTCACCTGCCACTTGTGTATCACTGGTATCTTATTTGTCATTCGGAAACAAAAACTAAAATGAAAACTGAAAAAATATATATATAATCAGTCACAGTAAAATCACACATCTTTACATATTAACGATTAATCACGATTTAATAATAAACATTTACAAAAAAAAAAACATGTCTACGGTGAGCATTTTTCCCCATATTGATAAAGTGTTCTGACATGATGAGCACAAACCACTTTTAGCTGTACTAGGGCTCCCAAATTGTTTCCAGGGCAAATTCCTCTTCCTTTGCAGGAAATTAGATTGTTGCAAACATGAGGACAGCAGTTGGTGCAGTGACAATATCTTAAAGTTGGCAAAACTGAAGACGAGTTACTGTTTTTGTTTGCTTGCTCTGCCGGGCTGCTTGTGCATATAAAAATAAAAGCAGTACATAGTTTGTAGATGTTTTATTTTGACCTCATAAAGGCTACACAGACTTTAAAAAGTCTGGATGAGGCTCATAGGCCCTACTTTGCCCAGATGTACTGTAAGTCTTTAAGTTAAATCATGAGGTCGATGGATCGGATAAAAAAAAATACTTACCAAACAACAACCACTGGTGCTAGTTTGAGAACCTCAAAATTCTGTTGTGCGCACCTCAGCTTATACTGGTCATGTTTTACGAGGTGGTAGTTGGAGGACCCCAAAAAGCAGGGAAGCAGGGAGGAGCAGGGTGGCTGACCAAAATGTATTTAACAAAAATGCAAACAGGAATACACTGGAGAAATTAACTCAAAAACTCACTCAAATAAAGTCCAGCAAAATCACAAGAAATCAAAGTAACAAAAAACCTGAAACAGAAAACAAAACATGACACGTGCACACAGCAACAATGACCCGACACTGAGTGGTCGGGCATCAAGTCTTTTAAAGTGGAAACTAATGGCACAATGGCCAACAGGTGTGCAGCTGCAGGCGGAGCCCTACAGTGCCACCTGTTGGTCACAAACACAACCATGACAATACTCTTACGATACATGTTTCATCAAAGCAGCTTGATGCTGAACATACAGTATATTTCCCTGCGAGATTAATTGTGCCCTTTCTTGTGTCTCCGTTTTGCAGTACAGCAAACACCTGTTTGTCCACATAGGGCAGACAAACCCCTCCTACAGTGACCCTCTCCTGGAGGCTGTCGACATCCGGCAGATCTATGACAAGTTCCCAGAGAAGAAGGGAGGCCTCAAGGAGCTTTACGAGAAAGGCCCTCAGAATGCGTTTTTCTTGGTTAAATTTTGGGTGAGCAATCAAGTTTCATTTTAGGAAGTCATTTGTAGGGGTGGTCGATGTAGGACCAGAGAAAATCTCTCTCTCTCTCTCTCTCTCTCTCTCTCTCTCTCTCTCTCTCTCCCTCTCTCTCTCTCTTTCAGTGTGTGTGTGTGTGTGTGTGTGTGTGTGTGTGCGTGCGTGTGAGAATCTGCAAGTATGGTTCATTGACAAGAGTATCTGCATACGTGACAAAAGTGGCATTTCGTAGATGTATGTACCTGTATATTGGACAAGGGTCGATAAGTCATGCTCATACAAAAAAAAATTGCAGTTTGAATATGAGTGTGTTTTTGTTCAGTTTTTATTTTGTCATGCAATACTGTATATGAATAACCTACTAGTGTATTCATATGACATGAGTAAGATTTTAGAGAGACCAAGGGGTACGACTAGATACATTTTCTGCTTCTTCCTACTCCCCTTGAACATGCGAATTGTGCTGAACCAAAACATCTTATGATCTTTTCCTGTTTTTCAATTTTTTATTTATTTTTTAATCTTTGTGTTTATATGTTCATTCAATCAATCAACCAATCAATCAATTAATAGGTCAAGGAGATATATGCATTTCCCTCCATTTAAAACAATAGCTTTGTGTCTTTAAAAGATCTATATGAAGCGGTTTTGTTAAAATACCCCACCTATTAAAAATTTAGGACACTGTTATTCAAGTCTCGCCTTAATTAGCCTGTTTTGCGTGGGTGGTCTTTGTCTCATGCTAATGAGCCACTGCTCATCCCAATCCCCTCTAGTCTGAGAAAATGAGCAGATATCATTCACCTAGAATGTAAAGAAAATAAATCAATTGCCCATAAACAAAGTAAAATCCGACAGTACACTCAAGACACTTTAGTGGAGTGGAATCGTGTATGTCGCGCAAGCAACGGACACATCGCATTTGTGTGATTATACACATGATGGGTGGGCAAGCTCTCCAGGGAGACAATTCATTGTACGAAAGCCATGATAGTTCTCCATATGATGTCCCTTTTTGAAGGATTACATTGATTGTGCTCTCTGCAGGCCGACCTGAACAGCAGCGGGATGCAGGATGGCCCCGGTTCTTTCTATGGCGTCACCAGCCAGTACAGCAGCGCTGAGAACATGACCATCACTGTTTCAACCAAAGTCTGCTCTTTTGGGAAGCAGGTGGTGGAGAAAGTCGAGGTAATGGCATGTCAGGATCAATTAGCTCCGCAAACATGCAGTTTGTGAATTGAGCTATGTGTGTGTTCTCATGCCCGCCCCTCTGCAGACAGAGTATGCCCGCCTGGAGGGGGGCAAGTGCGTTTACAGGATCCATCGCTCCCCCATGTGCGAGTACATGATCAACTTCATCCACAAGCTCAAACACTTGCCTGAAAAGTACATGATGAACAGTGTTCTTGAAAACTTCACCATCCTGCAGGTACACACTTCGATATGGGAACGCATTTCAAACGTGTTTTATTTATGTATAGCTAGTATAATCCCAGGAAGGCTTGGAATAGATAGGTGTCAAAGTCCAGTCCTCGAGGGCCGCTTTCCCTCATGTTTTCCATCTCCCCCTGCTGCAAAACACCTACCGGTAATTCAAATGATCAGCTCATCAGCAAGTGCTGCAGGAGCCCGATAACGATCCTGGTCAGTTGAATCAGGTGTGTTGCAGAAGGGGCGAAATGGGAAAACAAGCAGGGTAACGGCTCTTACCTCTTCGTCAGAAAAATAGCACCAGGAGGAGCGCTGACTGACTTAAATGTGCGCCTCAGGGACAGAAGTATTACTTTGAAAATTAAAGTGATGGTAACACAAATGAAGAATTAGGTGACTAAAGAAAGAGATTAAAACAAAATGTGTGACTCCACTCCATGCTTGCCTGACCACATTCCTCCCACGTTACCACACCAGACTCATCCTTCCACTTTAAAGTCATTTAAATATCAATGCAACACATTTTTGTTATTGATCCCATTTTTCATGAACTGAAATCAATCCAAGACTTTTTATGTGTTGACAAAATTTGAAATTTCTCCTAATGTTAGGCACAAATCTGTCCAAATGCGTGTTTCTGAGCACTTCTTCTTTACTGAGATAACACGGTTGGTACTGTATATCAAGATGCTGATTAGACAGCATGATTATTGGACAGGTCTTCCCACAATAAAAGGCTAGTCTGAAGTGATGTTCAGCTCATGAAAAATACAAGCAGAAGCAAAAGTGTTTATGTTTTTGTTCAGAGGTGGACATTTACGCCTGTCGTCACTTCTCTGTCAGTAACGATGGAAGGTCTGTGGGTCCGTCATTGACGGACTCCTCTTTTCGCTGGCAGACTGACGATTGGGTGTAATTGAAACACTGGCAGAATAAGTGCCGACGGAACCGATTTTCGGCCATTGACGCAATAATCAACACTATCTAAAGAGGTTATAAGTGTGGAGGTCAAGGAAGGCTACCGTGTATTTTCCTACCTGACATTGTGACTTCTATCTCTTTTGCTCCCCTAGGTGGTAACGAACCGCGACACCCAGGAGACGTTGCTGTGCATCGCATTTGTGTTCGAGGTGTCCACGAGCGAGCATGGCGCCCAGTACCACGTCTACAGACTTGTGAAGGACTAAGCAAAAAAAAAAAAGTGAAAGCATGCCTTCCCCCTCTCTTCAGCCAGCAAAACCAGAAACAATGCTAGAGAACTAACACTAACACACATAAGGAATAAAAAAAAAAAGTCACACACATGCAGACCAGTAGCTTGTGCTTAAACGTGCTTTAGATGAAGTGGAGGTACGCCATGGCGCTCGAGAGAACGAGAAGGTGTCGAATGAGAAGATCACTCAGAGCAAGGAAAGAAGACAGAACTGGACCACAGATGAGGAGGAGGAAGAGGAAGTGGTGTTGCAGTCGATTTTGTCAGGAAACAAAAGTGCCTTTTTTTCTCCAAAGATATAATTGCCTGCCACTTTGAATTGCCTTTTGTACTACCTCTTTTTTTTTTGTCAAATGATAGATCATCACAGGGCAAGTTCATTTGGAAATAAGCCCTAGAGCCTTTTCACACCAACATTTATCAGTGAAAGGACTTGATGCCCTGTTCTGGTACTGCTTGTCTGTGATTTTAATCTTGTCTTAAGTGGGGTTCACACATATCAATTTTTAATATCTTGGTGTACTTCAGACGAGTGGCACAGCACACCACAAACATAACGAGATCTCCAAAAATCGCGAGTCTCCTCCCCCAAACCAGATGTCTGTCAAAGTACTAAGTCCGACCTGTAGGAGGCAGCATGGGGCAACAGAAGAAAGACAAGTAGTAGAAGAAAATTGTGAGTGATTTTCATAAATATTGAACAGGGGTAACAGGTACATTGTGGGCCCCAACCCTTTTCAGACCAGGTCAGGGAAGATAGATCAACATAATCTTTTGCAGGCATTCGATAATCAGGCCTTTGCTGACTTGGTAAAGTGGGGGAAATGCTCAAATTCTGCCTCATTACAGGTACGCATGTATTGCACTTAAATCACACGCAAAAGGATTTGCGATCGTCAATATTGAACAAGTTTCCATTGATAATTGGCAGATAAGCGAAGAAAAAAAAATAACACATCTCGCACCACAGTATAATCACTCATATTAATCTTTTAGGGACATCGGACAACTGGGACTTTGCTGACTTTGATTAGAAAGGGGAATGCTAAAATGTGGCCTAATTGTCAGGATGAAGTCTATTCCGTTTTGATCGGTATTGACAACACACATCAGGGTTTGTGATCCTAAATATTAAAAAAGGTTTAGCATGTATGATTGTCACACCGACCATTTCCCAAGCAGATCAGCAAGGAAAATTACCGGTACTCTTAACACACTTCACACCACAGGATAATCTTTTAGAGACATCTGATAAGTGGGCCTTTGACTTTGATCGGAAAGGGAGGTGGTGCTCAAACTCGGCCCGATTGTCGGTATGTGTATGTCCCCTGCTTAATTGATTTCACATCACAATCATGGAGTCTGTGGCTTGCCTGAAATCGATGTTGATCACATGAAAGGATTTGCTGTTGAACAGGTATAATATTTATGATTGGCAATCCCAACTGTCTTCCAAGCCGGTTGGGAAAGGGGGAAAAAAAAAAAACTTCACACACTCCACACCACAGAATAATCGTTCAGGATAATTATTAGAGGCATCCGACAATTGGGCCTTTGCTGAGGGAGTAAAGTGCTTCCATTTGGCCCACTTATCTGTATATCACACAAAAATTTGTAATTGTAAATATTGAACAGGTTTAACATGTACGATTGTCAACCGTCTTCCAAGAAGGTTCGGGAGAGAGGGAAAAAAAACACTCTTCAAACACCCCACACCACAAGATAATCGCTCAGGTTAATCTTTCAGCGGCATCCGACAATCAGGCCTCTGCCGACTTTGATTCGAATGGCTGAAATGCTCAAAAACATCACGATCTACAGTATGTGTGCACCCTTCTATGCAAATCAATGATTTGTTCAACCCTATGGATGCTTTTAAAATTGCTCATCCTTCATAAAGCCAGCGCTTGCTCCTGCCCATGTACGACCACGTCCACCAATCCCCTTGTTACACTGCTTTATTGGAAGACGTGAGTTCGCACAGCTGCCCTGAGACGACCAGGGTGGTGGTTGTGGTGTGAGGCAGTGGAGACCAAGTGACAGCAGTGTTTGATTTTTCTGCCTTGACGTGTATGTAGCCCGAAGTGAAAACTATATTGTTTCTGTACTGTGAGTCAAGTGGATCCCTAAAGGAATATGTGTCACATAGGAGTATTTTTATTTTGAGGAGGGGAGGGGATGGGGCTTTATTTGTGATTAAGTGTCCTGGCACAGAGAGAGCAGAAGAGAACTAGCAAATTGAAATCAGCGTTTCTTTTGATTAAAAAAGAAATTGCATGCTGTGAAGTCATACATCTTCACTCACTATGCGGAGAAGCTTCAGTTTTTCATATTTAAGATGTAATATCGACACCCATCTCCAACCTGTTGTCTCTGTGCTGCGTGCAATGTGATCATTGATTGTTATTTATAGGTTTGGAAAGCAGATTCTAATAATAAGGGCAATGTGGGGTTCACTACTTAATGATCATTTTTCCATTGATTTGGAGATGGTTCAACGGAAGTCTGTGTGTATGTCTGCGTGTGTGTGTGTGTGTGTGTGTGTGTGTGTGTGTGTGTGTGTGTGTGTGTGTGTCTCACTGGACAATTTCCATCCATCCATTATTTTTCACCGTAAAATTGGACATATTTTGACAAAAGTGCCTGCCTGGCTTTGAATGTCGTATTTTGCAACTTAGAGAAACACAAAAATAATGCTCCTTGCTCTATGTATTTTTTTATACAGTTTTCTTGCCAGTACCAATATTTGTCCATGTTTTGATTCTGTCGTCTTTTTGACTGTGAGTGTTTTGCCTCACTGAAAAATAATGTGTGATTGTGCTGACATTGATAATTAATAATAAGATATATAATGTATCATATTCTGAATGGTGTGGGAAGGTGTTTTATTGTTTTTGTTGTTTTTGGTTAAGGTGGTTTACTAAGGTTTTTGCCACAATTGTGAATTGCAATTTTATACTTCCAAATAGAGGTTGGACTATGTAATCAAACAAATGTATCTAACAATAAAAGACACATGGTGCCTTTGGGGGCCATTTCCCCATGATATGCTGTGTGATTGCCTTTGTCCACGACTTTTCTTCTTCTGATATTATTAGGTAACACAGCATATAACAATCGTAATATAATACTAAATACAACATTTTTGTTCATGTTATGATCTGTATCAGAATGTTACAAGTACTGTACATCCATGATAAACACTGTACATACGAAGCCAAAACAAGCCAAAAGGTGAGGCTAAATTCAATATTTTCCAACATACATATATTATCTACTTTACATATAAAACACACACTATTGTTGTATTGTAACACATCAAAAACGCACAAAAATACTGCTCGATGAGCCAGCTGAGACAACTTCATTTCCCAGAATTCAACGGGACCAGAAATAATACGGAAATCACCAATAACCCGTAAATTAAATGAGTACATTTATCAACTCCCGATGGTCTTAGAATATACAACATAAAATATGTATTTTTTTTTTGTTAATTAAAATCGCCCTTATCTTTGTGCTTTGTTTTGGAAGCGATGAGTCGGATCGGACGTGAAGAACTGAACGGATACCCCAATGCCGTCACTTGTAAGCAAAGATGTCATGCCTTTCATGCGCTCTGTTTACACTTTGACAGTACTGAAGAGAAGCCGCGTCGCCGAGGGACTTGCTATGTCACTTTCAACCATCATGAAGTCAGAATAACTGACGACGTTGTGGGCCTCCTTCAGTCGGCTTAGCTGTCCGGTAGAGCCAGGAAGTATCCTGGACCCGAGACTGTTAGAGCCCCAACCGCGCTTCGTCCCACTGCAAACGGTTCGTCCAGGTGAGTTAAAAAGGATACAGTACACTTTTAAGCCTTTAACGATGGTTTAAAACATGATGAAAATGTATTTTGATGCCAAGTCAGTACGACTAATCTACTTAATCACGATAAAGCTAGTATGTGTAGCTTTCCTCTCGTTTAAAACTTAATTCATGATCTGTAAATTGAAGTACTGTAAACACAGCTTTTGCTCCATAAAAATTATTACAGTTTTAACTAAATGTACCGTTGTCAAGATTGTATTTGCGACTGTGTGTGGGTACAAAACCAGAAACCCTTTGTCCTTTATGACATGTTATTGTAAATTTATCTTCCATCAGGCAGATAGATCAGTGCCTTAACAAGGTCCAATCATAAGAATGGGATTTCAATTTGCATTACGCGCGAACAATATTCACAAGGTTTGGCTTGTGAATTCAAGTTGGATGTGGTAACGCTAACTTGGTCCATATGTCATGGTCAATACGAACCCTATGTGCTGCTGCAGGGCAGAAGTCAAACCTCAAAGTTACACAGCGTCTTCTTGGCTGTGTGTCATAAAATTGAAACAAAACAACTACTCAGCCATTGTCAGGAAACACGTTCATGAACGCAGATATTGGCATATTTTTCTGTGCCTGTGTGGGGAGTCTCTTCAATTTGGATCAAATGGAGGTTATTTGTCATCACAGCATTTTTGTCCTCTGTTGCCAGTTAGATAAGTAAGGCCTATGTAAGGTTCAATGTTTATCTCATTTTGTGGTTACATCAAAACAAGAACAAAGAAAAAGTTTGCTTAAGCTCCAGATTGTGAGACTGATTTTCCAGAAAATCGGAATTGATAAAGTTCTAAATGTAGGTCGTGTTTGAATTAGAAACTCTTCATCGGAGATGGGCAACTTAAATCCTGGCCGTGGCTACAATTTTTCTTCAGCGCTACTCGAGGACCACAGAGGACCACACACTTCCTAACGAGCTAGATTTATGACAAAAAAAAATGCAATTTTAAATATGAATGAAATGTGTGCAAATTTCATTTGTGATCATACATTTTTCAATGCATGCATCATAAGATACACCATCCTTACCCAAAAACAAAAATATAACGTACCATTCAAGGCAGCATAATGCTCAACAAAAAAAACCCCAGGCATGGTGAGACTGAGAATCTCTCTCCGTCTACATGCCCCCCTCCCCACACACACAACAGCATTTCTCCTTTTTCTATATAAGCAGCGCGTGACCCAAGCTCTGCCTGGTCAGCTTTTTACACCACACGCACACACACGCGCACACACACACACACACGCGCGCACACACACACACACACACACACACACACACACACACACACACCCACACACACACACACACA